CCGGCGATATTTGGTCGAACGAAGCAATGCCAATGCAAGGCGCCGACATGCGCAGCACAGCAGACTGCAGGTCGAGACGTAGACAGAGGTCGAGAGAGATGGCAAGGTTCGAATCTGGCCCGCCCGGCCGCCTGTTGCTGTTCCAGCCATGCAGACGACCGACGGGGAGACCGGTCCGGCCAACAGCTAGCGAACGCTGCTGGTGCCTGGTGCTGACCGAGACCGAACCTTTACCCGGGCGCGCTGGCTGGCTGGCTGGCTGGCTGCCGGCGAACTTTGACGGCCCGTCCCCCCGACCGGTTTCCCCCTTCTAGAAGCAAGCTGGGGGCAAAGGGGCCACGGAGCGGCCAACGCATTGCCCAGTCAAACCTCAAGCGCCCCATGCAACGACTAGCCCCGTCCAGCCAGCGAGAGCTCAGCCCCGTCCACCTTCATGTCCGCGTCCGCGTCCGCGTGGTCGTCCGAGTTCCGGTGGCCGCGCACCCGGACACACACGACCCCCTTATAAGACCGCCGCGCGACGGCGCACGCCACTCCCCCTCGATTCATCGGCCCCTTCGCACGCTCGTCTGCCGCGCGCGTCTGAGCTGATGCGAGCCAGCGAACCGTGACCTCCATTTCCCTTCCGTGACCTCTTGCTTCATTCGTCGTCGTCAGCCCGCTTCCAGCGAAAGGCCAACGAGGAAGGACGAGTAACTAAAATAACTACTTAGGTGAGTCGACGCTGCTTCTCTTTTATATTCTTATTTTAAATTTTAAAAATGGGAAGAAAAATTCCTCTCTACTCGAAAACTTGTGCTTGATTCTTACTTAGAATCCTGACTGGAGCTGGACCCGAACCAATCGGCCGCTGCGCTGTGCCTAGTTGCTTCTTAATTTGCATTCAGATTCCTTCGTTCGCTTCTACGGCTGCGGTTGGTTACCTGTTTGCCCGTACTCACCGATCGACGCGTCTCTATCTATGTGTGTGTTCTTGCAGCACAAGCAGCCCACCGGAAAACCGCCGTCGTTGCGGCAGCTTGGCGAGAATTTTTCTCTACAGTTCAGTGTGAACCTGGCGCGGAGGAACCTGACGACGCCCAGTCCATTCTGGTGGGTAAGACAGAGTTGGGAAGCGGCGTTGAGACCCAGTGAATTCCTGCACACGCACGCACGCACGCCCATCATTAGTTAGTCGGTGAGAGCGAGGGAGAGACACAGGAGGTGGAGGGACGCCGGCCGGCATGGAGGGTTCCAACTCGCACGGCGGTGGCGGAGGCGGGACGAGCTCGCCGCCGCCGTTCCTCATCAAGACCTACGAGATGGTGGAGGACCCGGCGACCAACCACGTCGTGTCGTGGGGCCCCGACGGCGCCAGCTTCGTGGTGTGGAACCCGCCGGACTTCTCGCGGGACCTGCTGCCCAAGTACTTCAAGCACAACAACTTCTCCAGCTTCATCAGGCAGCTCAACACATATGTGAGTCACTCTAATCTCTGTCGCTCCATGTGTCATGCGCGTGACCCACTTCTTCGTCTCAGATTTTGCTGTGAAGAGATGTTGCTGTTGCGCGTCGATTTTCACCATTTCGTTTCCGTCCTCTTTTCTAGATGATGTGCCTTTTCCGTGGCAGTTTTTGCATGTTTTTAGTTGGCACCAAACACGTGCTTCGAGTTTCAGTGCTGGAAACAGAATCCGTACTGTGAACGGTCATGATGTGGCATGGCATTCAATTCCAAAGGTGGTTCATGGTTTTTGCAAGGAATCCTGTGTGCTCTGTTTCTACGGCCTTTTCGTTTCGTCATAAACGATCATAGATTATTTACTGTTGACTGGTTTAGTGTGAGAAAAAAATATTGTTTCAGATTATAATCCACGATCGTATACGAGTAAGCGAACAGGCTGCTAGTTCTTCTGTATAAGAAGCCCATGTTTTCTATTCACTTTTTCAGCATGCTCCATAGCAGCTCATCCTCAGGGTTAGAGCCTTAGAGGTGGGTCTTGGGCTGTGCCGTGCCCTCTAGGCAAGCACGGCACGTCGGGACGTGCCGTATCGGCACGATAAATCTTTTCTTCGGCTCAAGCATGGGCCGTGGCACATCAGCACGTCTTTGGGTCGTGTCGGCCTAAGCATGACTCTCAAAATATCTCTACTAGTTTTCTTTTATTTTTGCTCATGATATAAAAAATATATATCTTGTGTGTACTATTCTTATCAAAGTTTTAATGATTTTTATAATTTATTCAAGAATTAGATGGGAGGTAGTATAGTAAATGCTAGAAAATTGTATTGTAGAGTTATAAATGTATCTACATACCATTTTTGTGTCGTGCCGGCCCAAGCGCCAAAAATGTGGGCCAAGCCATGTAGCCCGCTGTGCCGAGATCCTGGGCACGGCACGCACGGTTCAAAATATTTTGTGTCATGCCGTGCTTTGGCCGTGCTAAGAGACCGTGACATGACCGTGATCCACCCTCAAATGGCATGGCCAAGTCCCAGCTCTAAGTTTCAATAAAAAGTCCCAGCTCTACTCAGGGTCATTTAGATGATTTTGCCCCGGTTCGAAACTGCTATTGCAAGTCAGCATGCAATTTTCCATGCTTCATCTGAACAAAATGCTACCATTCTCTTTTCCCTTCCGTCCTTGTGCAGCATGTTCATGTCATTGTCAAGGCAATGCCAAGACTGTCTGGTACCAAGTTAGCAAATTTAATCTACCATGGAATTATAAAGCTTTAATTAAAGTGACAAATCTTTTTAACAGTTGGCTCCTCATGGTTTATCTGTCTATCTTCACTTTCTGCTTGCTAACTTCATTTTACTTTCAGGGTTTCCGAAAGATCGATCCAGAGAGATGGGAGTTCGCCAACGACGACTTCATAAGGGGACACACGCACCTTCTGAAGAACATCCACCGGCGCAAGCCGGTGCACAGCCACTCGCTGCAGACCCAAGTGAACGGGCCGCTAGCGGAGTCCGAGAGGCGGGAGCTCGAGGACGAGATCAACAGGCTCAAGTACGAGAAGAGCCTGCTGCTGGCCGATCTCCAGAGGCAGAACCAGCAGCGGTGCGGGATCAACTGGCAGATGCAGGCGTTAGAGAGCAGGCTGGTGCAAATGGAGGAGCGCCAGAGGAACATCGTGGCCTCCCTGTGTGACATCCTGCAGAGGCACGGGGTTGTTCGGGGCTCGACGACGACGCTGATGGAGACTGCGGCGGACCACTTCAGCAAGAAGAGGAGGGTTCCGAAGATCGATTTCTTCGTCGACGATGAACCCAAGGTCGAAGAACAGCAGGTGCCGTTGTTCCTGCAGACATTGGGCGCAGCAGAGACACCAGGCATGTCTCCGATCCGCCTTTTGAATGCTGAGCCGTTTGAGAAGATGGAGCTGGCCTTGATGTCGCTGGAGAACTTCTTCCAGAGGGCAACCCATGCGTCTCCTCAAGACATGTACGCTGGTGGTGGTGCTGAACCACCCAGCCCTGCTCTGAGTCTTGGCGAGATGCTCTCAGTCTCGGCACCAATGGATACCAGTATCAATCTGCAGACATCAGATTGCCAGAATCCCTTTGCTTCGACCTCAGGGCAGGACCAGTCGTCTTGTCCATTGGCGGAAGCAGAACCTCCGAGCTACGCCCAGAGCCCGACGCTGCCGATGGCACAGCTCCATGAATATGCACATAGGACAGCTGAAGTCGATATGAACTCCGACACCACAACTGGCGACACCTCACAAGATGAGACCACCAGTGAAACTGGAGGTTCACATGTGCCGGCCAAGGTGAACGATGTATTTTGGGAGCGGTTTCTCACAGACGAAGAGGGTAAAATAGAAGCAAAAGAAGATGTGAAGACTGCCATAAACCGCAGCTGTCGTCGTCTCCAGGACAATGTTGATCAGATCACTGAGCAGATGGGGCAGCTTGAATCAGCTGAGAACGACTCTTATGCACCCCGGAATTACTGATATCACACCATCGGTGCTGATCCGTATAGTCCATTTGTAAAGCTATAGCGCTGTACATTATAGACTAGTTTAGGCCACCTTGATAGTATACCTAGCTGAGTCTTTTCTAGCATTTCCTACAGTAAAAAGTAAAATTATCTGCTGACCCATGTACATTATGTCCTTGCGCTGAAGTCGATTATGTAGAGCTAGATGAGCACAGGTTCAGTTATTTGCAGTCCTAAGCTCTTCCGTTGTTGTGCTTGTGTGTGTGCCCTTTCTGATAAATCCTTTGGGAGCGAACAGCCCTCTAGCCTAGTGGTTGGAGTTCCTCGGCTCAGCAGGCCAGGTTCAAATCCTAGTCCGTTTTCTACCAATTTCAGATACCAAGGAGCAACCGGGGTTTGTGACAACATATTAATCCAGCGCTAGTTACACAACTCTTTATTGGATAATTTTTTGTGGCATGCATGCGATTGCAGCGCAACAAACGCCTCGGTATTAATCTAACGCTGGATGCTGAGGTTTTCTATTGGATCGGTATTAATCACGCCAGACGGAAAATGGGAAAACCTCCATGCAAGTGATTGTTTAGTTTCATCTGCGAGTAAAAAGCTGCCTTTGTATACATGTGACGCCTAATATTAAGGACTTTCTCCAAAATACAAATACACCTTAGAAATCGGACCAGAGGGAGTAATCTCATCCCTTGTTTTTGTAAAGCTGCAGTCAGTGTAAGTGTATTAGAATTGAGTACATTTTCCAAGTAGACTTTATGGTAACAAAATGGGAGCATCTAGTATGGAAGTACAAATTATGGAATATGTTAATTTGAATAACAAATATACTTTGTCCTAAGGGATTGTGAATATCGAAGCAGTTTAGGAAATAACATGGCATGCAAATATAATCCTAACAAAATTAAGTTTGCGTTTGCATAAACATGAAGCTCTTTTTGGGGCTTCATCTCCATGAACAGCTCTATATGGAAGTCAATCGTTTGGTATATGTAAAAGAGTTATGCACAATGTCGTTCATATTCTGCACAAAGCAAAAGTTCTAATCAAGACTAGGTTACATAATACTTAAGTTTGCCTGCATAAACATAGCATAAAGAATGATTAAGAGTTCCAAATGATATTCTGCACAGCAAAAATCTCAAACTAGGTTACATAATACTTAAGTGCGTATGATTAAGGTTCCAAATGATACCCGAATCTCAAACTTCACTATAGGGGTTGATTTATCGATGAGATCATCAGTTTCAAGTATAGCAGATTCCGCACCAAAGCCATCACAGTTATACATCATACTCTCAAGACAACCAGGACTCCCATCAACATTTCATGTTGTAGTGTCCAATCCTTTTCTAGTAAATATTCAGTTTTTGCAGAGCTTTAAAGACTTCTATTATTATTTCTCATGGATGTGCCCGAGACTGTTAGACAATTACAGATAAATGAATCAGAAAAATTCAGGAAAAATATCATAATATGTGCTTAACATGAAAATTACCTGAAGACCAAGGGCCCATTTCCTTTCAACTGCAAAATGCTGCCTCAAGCTGGACCCAGGAGATTCTGGGCGTGTTTGGCTGGTTTACGTGACCAGCTCACCTCGCCTCGCTCAGCAAGGCCAGGCTTGCCAGCTGCGCAAAGCGGTTTCAGGTCGCTTGGGTTGGCGACGAAAATTCTGGAAAAAGCGCTGGAAGCAAACAACCAGACGGTGTATCTTGAAGCAAACCAACCAAACAAGGCAGAGCGAGGCATTGATGCCGAGCCAAAAGAAAAAGCAAGGCAGAGCAAGGCATCCAAATGTTCCCTCTGTAAACACATGCTGCTGAAGTTCATTGTTGATGCAAGTTGGTCTTTCAGCGATTACTTGAAGCTAAAATCTTCTCTTTCTTCTTTTGGCACCACTCAAAAGATGAAGGCCTCATGCTAGAGAGTTGCTGAAGTTGGTCTTTCATACTTGAGAAAAAGAGCAAAACAGAAAATTAGCGAGAAATTTATAGCATCACAAGTACTGAACAACTTGCAATCAACATCTTGATATACAAGAGAAAAGAAAATCATACTCACCATAGATTCTTGAAAATCAGAGCCAAGATAAACACTGGTTGTACGAAGCCTATCATCCAAGAGTAAATAATAGGCAACTGTTGCCTGCACAGCCAAACTGTGTCATAATACCATAAAACACGACCAAAGGAAACAGAATAAAGCAGATACCTCATTCTGCAATCTGTTTTGCAGAGATTCAATTAGCTGATTCTTGTCAAAACCCATATTAAGAACATCATTAAGAGTTTCCTCGTTGAGCTACAAAATTCAAAACAATGTCATTTGCTGAAGTAGAAAAGGCAGAATAAAGATTTTACCGAAAAGCGCCATCCGCAAAAGCAGAGGATTCTAAATGGCCGAAGGAAACAAATACACATTGTCAAGTTGATACACAGACAATATAATCAATATACCTTTTTAACTTGTTGTGCAGTGTCTGGAGGCGGCACAGCCAAATAGCGTGAAAGTTGAATATTGAACCACACATGTTCACGGATTTCACGTATTGTAATCCTTCTCATTGGATCAACAACCAGCATTCGGGGAATCAAGTCCCTCGCTGAAGGTGACAAATGACTAGGAAGGGTGTATATTCCACCCTACAATTACATATAAGAATTTACTGAGCATATTAAAAATAAACTATAAAGGAATCCTTTTTTCAGGTAACTCACTGAGATTATAGCTCACCTCTATTTTCTTAAAAAGGTTTGGAATATTCTCATCATCAAATGGGAGAGTGCCACAAAGAAGAGCATAAAGAATAACGCCACAGCTCCAGACATCAACTTCAGGACCAGCATATAGTTTACCAGATATGATCTAAAGATACAAGGAAGAATCGTGCCATAGCAAGCTATATACGTAAATGGAACCATGAAGAGTGCTAATTGCAAATCATGCCAGATGTAATACCTCAGGTGCTGCATAATTCGTGCTACCACAACTCGTCTTAAGAAAGTGGCCATCACGCATAACAGCACTTGAGCTAAAATCAGCAATCTTGACATTGCATCTTGAATCCAAAAGAATACTCTCTAGCCTTAAATCACGGTTAACAACCATCTTCGTATGGCAATATTCGAAATCACGGTTAACAACCATCTTGGTTTGTTTATGGAAAAATATTCGACACCAGAGATGGATCTGCTCCCCAGCAAATCAGGCTGATGATCTGCACAAAAAGTCAATAAGAAAATTATCGAACTAAGCTCAATGAATCAAATAAACACAAATAATCAAGTTATTGATTGCAGATATGAGAGAAGCATGACGTTTAACAGATTTCAAATATTCATCAGCTCGCAAAACAGCTTATGCCAACCATATACAGTTCGAACCAGGGATTACAATGCATCGTGCAATAGAAAGCCACCTGCTGAAAAAAACGACATGCTTCTTGTTCGTGTAGTCTTCCCTTCTCAATGATGTAATCAAACAACTCTCCTTTTTTACAATACTCCATAACCACATAAATATCAGCAGGTGTATCTATCACCTCATAAAGGCGTATGATATGAGGATGCATCAATAATCTCAGTATCTTGAGATCTCTCTTCACTGCAGATACATAATAAGAGAGAATTAAGTTGAGTACTTCATCAGAGAAAAAAAACGCAAGACACAATAAGGAGCTTTGCTGCGTGTCTATACTCTATACATCACGCGCAAGTTTAAGAAACACAAACGAATGTTCTGTACAGAAGGAATAAGCACTGACCTTTCTCTTCCATTTCCATGCTTGTGATCCTCCTGCGATTGATGATCTTAATTGCCACCTCATGGCCAGTCAATATATGTTCAGCGATCTTCACTTTACCGAACGACCCAAATCCCAGGGTTATGCGAATTCGGTAACCGATCAAAGGGTTGGCATCTCTTCCAGCTCCCTCCATCGTGTACCTGAATCACAACCAAAGCATATCATACTAGTTTGAGGGCAAAGGAAAAAAGAAAGCTAAACCCATGCGAACTCGTGTGCATGAAAATCTACTATGCACTGAGTCACTGATACTATTCGAAGGTTGGATCTAGACGATCGAAACAAGTAATATTCCGATTCAGGCTAAGCGAACACACACACAGCACGGCTCAATTTACTCCGCCGAGAGGCGGGGAAGGCGAATCAGAATCCCGTTGCCAATTCCTCAAGCTATCTTTCTCAAACTATTCGCACCCGATTGGCCTGGGCCTGTAGTCTGTAGAAAACGAAGCTGAAGCGCCCCAAGCCCAAATCCCCAACCCCTGCACAGGCACACCGCACACCCGAACCGCTAGCGCGCGATCCCACGACGAGCTTACCTCGCAGCAGGGGAGAAGCGGCGAGCTGGGTCCCGCCCGCCGGAGCAGGCGGCGGCGGAGGCGGAGTCGCGGCTCGCGGCGGAGGCGAGGCCGGCTCGGGCCCGGACGGACGGGAGGCCGGGAGGGGATGGTTTGGCGTTTCGGTGGGCGCGTGGGATTGGCCATGCCCGAGGATTTCTCCTTTTCTCGGTTGTGTCCCATCCCATGCTTACGTGACGGTTGGTCGAGTGGAGATCTGCCTCCGCGACCACGAGCGACCCGACGACGGAAGGGGAGAAGCTGTTCGCCTGTTCCTTCACCTCGCATCCTTGCGACCTTGACTGCGGCTGCGGGCGGGAGAACGGTGCCGAGCGCGGAGCGCCCGAGCCGACGAGCGAGAGACGTGGAGGTGGAGAGGAAGAGACCGTCGCGGACTCGCGGTGTCTGCGACCGTTAGTGCGGCGGACTCGATGGGAACGGGAGGGAAAGATGGTGTGGCTGGGCCTGAGTTTTAGCAGGAGGGAGCGGGCTGGATGTGATGGGCTTCATGTATTTGTGGGGATTCAGGCCCTGTATGGGCAGCGTTTGCTCAGCTTTTAAGTCCAATAAGCCAATACTCCTGCACAAACACCTCGCGAAAGAGACCTGGCTGCGAACGTGCTTACGCGACTCCCCGTCGTCCGCAACATTTCCGAAATCACGAGCTCGACCCCACGTTTCCTCCCCCTGCCCCTCCCTCCCGAGCGGTCCCGTGCCTGAGCAGGATCCACGTGAGGTGAAACAAACAGGGCCTACCTAAACGCCCCGCTTAGATTCTACACATCGCAACTTATCAAATAATGCTGCTCAGCTAATAAGCTCAGATCCAAGTGAGATCCACCAAGAGCTGAACCAAATGGGGCCTCAGTGATGTGGACCTTAATTTCGTCCCCGTTGGCACCCACGGGGAATAATAAAACAGCGGGACAGAGGGCTGTTCAACTTACAGCGAGCTCTTGCTTTGTTTGATTAACCGGCAAATATGTCCGTGCATTACAACATAACTAAATATATATTAGAATCGGACTCCGTATAATCATTAAACGTAAGTAACTTGTAAACTTGTATAAGCACAGCTTATGAGTTCATGTTACACACAATATAAGATACAGAGGGCTCGACCCGATACGTCTTGAAATCAGTCTGGCTAGACGCGAGTTGTTCTTATGCCCTTTCTGATTAATCCTCAGGAGATGCATCCTATAATACATAAAACAGTAATCTTATCTGATGAATGTGCACTTCCTGTGACATCTAATTACTGTCTCTCCGTTTATGTCAGAGTTGACACTGATATGTCAACGGGCAAACTTTCTTTTCAATTTTCAGTGGGACATTTCTCAGTCTGGGTATCATGCTAATAATATCACCTTATAAAGGGATAACATGTCCAAGGACTAAAGAAAGGCCAAAATTTTTTTCGCATGATCTAATTGGGGAAGTAGGCCTGTGACTCGCCTGTGACCTCTTGTTTGGGACCTTAGGTGACAACCGTCTAGGCAAACCAGGACATGCCTCTAATGTCTACATACTCCAGAAAATATACACGTTATTCGTTTGGCTTATAAGCCGTACTTTTTCAGCCAACGAAACAGTATTTTTCTCTCACAACAAATCAATCAACAGTACTTTCAGTCATGGCTTATCAGCCAAGCGAACAGAGCGATAATCTACTGGAGGATTATATATTGTCATTATGTACATCTCAAATGTAACTTTAAACTCCACTGGGTGCATCAAGGATTGTGCTTGGGAAGCCAATCATGTCAGGCTCAAAGAACTCTCAGCTGAGTTAGAAAGGCGGAACACAAGTCCAGAAAGAGGAGCTGTGGTCCACTGACCCTTTGCAGGTCAAGAAGGTACTTCTCATCCCTCGTCTTGTAAAGCTGCAGTCAGTGTAAGTGTATTAGAATTGAGTGCATTTTCCAAGTAGACTTTATGCAACAAAAAGGGACATCTAGTATGAAATGAATGTACAATTATGGAATATGTTAATTTGAATCACAAATGTACTTGGTCCTAAGGGATTGTGAATATTTTAGCAATTCAGAAAAATAACCTGGCATGCAAATGTAATCCTAACAAATTTAAGTTTGCTGCATAAACATAGCACATAAAGAAGTCAAGGTCATATGTTAAAGAGTTATGCAAAGTGTCGTTCATAGTCTGAACAGCCAATGTTGTATTCAAGACTATGTTACGTGATATATTTATTTAAGTGCGCTTGATTAAGATTCCAAATGATACCTGAATCTCAAACTTCACTATAGGGGTTGATTTCGCCATGACATCATCAGTTTCAATTATAGCAGACTCCGCACTAAAGCCATCACTGCTATGCATCATACTCTCCAGGCTGCCAGGACTCCATCTGCATTTCATGTTGTAGTGCCCAATCTTCTTCCAGTAAACATTCAGTTCTTGCAGAGCTTTAAGCACTTCACTTATTATTTCTCGTGGATGTGCTCGAGACTGTTAGACAATTACAGATATATGAATCAGAATAATTCAGGAAACACATAATAAGATTAAGATGCACTTAACATGAAAATTACCTGAAGACCAAGGGCCCATTTCCTTTCAGCTGCAAAATGCTGCCTCAAGCCAGACCCCGGAGATTCTGTAAACCCATGCTGCCGAAGTTCAGTTGCTGAAGTTGGTGTTTCAGCGATTACTTGAGAGAAAGATGAGTCCTAGAGATCACAATCACATAAAGCAAGACAGAAAATTAGCAAGAAATTTATAGCATCACAAGTACTGAACAGCTCACAATCAACATCTGGAAATACAAGAGAAAAAAAAAACCACACTCACCATAGATTCTTGAAACTCAGATCCAAGATAACCACTGGTTGTACGAAGCCTATTGTCCAAGAGTAAATAATAGGCAACTGTTGCCTGCACAGCCAAACTGTGTCATGATACCATAAAACAACCAAAGGAAACAGAAAGTAAAGCAGATACCTCATTCTGCAATCTGTTTTGCACAGATTCAATTAGCTGATTCTTGTCAAAACCCATCTTAATAACATCACTAAGAGTTTCCTCGTCGAGCTACAAAATTCAAAACAATGCCAAATCTTTTGCTGAAGTAGAAAAGGCAGAATAAGGATTTTACAGAATAGCGTCATCGAAGCAGAGGATTCTAAAAGTTTGAAGGAACCAAATACACATCATCAAGTTGATGCACACACAATATCATTATACCTTTTTAACTTGTTGAGCAGTATCTGGAGGCGGCACAGCCAAATAGCGTGGAAGTCGAATCTTGAACCACACATGTTCACGGATTTCACGTATTGTAATCCTTTTCATCGGATCAACAACCAGCATTCTGGGAATCAAGTCCCTGGCTGAAGGTGACAAATGACTAGGGAGGGTATATATTCCACCCTACAATTAGATGTAAGAATTTACTGAGCATATTAAAATAAAATATAAAGGAATCCTTTTTTCAGGTAGATCAATGAGGCAATAGCTACCTTTATTTTCTTGAAAAGGTTTGGAATATTCTCATCATCAAAAGGGAGAGTACCACAAAGAAGAGCATAAAGAATAACGCCACAGCTCCAGACATCAATTTCAGGACCAGCATATAGTTTACCAGATATGACCTAAGAAAATAAGGAAGAATCGTGTCATAGCAAGTTAGAGCATCTCCAAGAGGTTAGCCAAATCGTTTTATAAAGGTAATTTGGCTATTATTAAAGGAAAAACGTCTCCAACAGACTCTGTAAATGACTCTCCAAATTTAGTAGCTCTCCATCCCACTTTATTCGCTCTCTACTTTTGGATAACCTACCTCACTAGCCATCCAACCTCTTGGTTTTACCAAGTCTGTTGAAGTACTCTAGTATTTTTTTGTCAAATCTATTTTAGAGAGTAGCTAAATCAGTAAATTTGGCTAGTCTTTTTGGCTAATGTCTTGGAGATGCTCTTATATAGGTAAATGGGACCATGAAGAATGCTAATGGTAAATCTTGCTAGATAATACCTCAGGTGCTGCATAATTCGGGCTACCACAACTTGTCTTAAGAAAGTGACCATCACGCATAACATTACTTAAACCAAAATCGGCAATCTTAACATTGCCTTTAGAATCCAAAAGAAGATTCTCTGGCTTTAAATCACGGTGAACAACCATGTTCCTATGGCAATATTCAATACCAGATATGATCTGCATAAGAAGTCAATAAGAAGAAAATTATCAAACTAAGCTCAATGAACCAAATAACCACAATTAGTCAATTCTGATCACAGATATAACAGAAGCATGACGGTGAACAGATTTCAAATATTTATCAGCTCACAAAACAGCTTATGCCAGCCATACTACAGTTCAAACCAGGGATTACAATGCATTGTGCAATCTTTGGAATGAACATAGTAATATGCAAGAAAGCCACCTGCTGAAAAAAGCGCCGGGCTTCTTCTTCGTATAGCCTTCCCTTCTCAACGATGTAATCAAACAACTCTCCAGATTTAACATACTCCATAACAACATAAATATCAGCAGGTGTATCTATCACCTCATAAAGGCGTATGATATGAGGATGCATAAATAATCTCAGTATCTTGATTTCTCTCTTCACTGTAGGTACACAATAAGAGAGAATTAAGTTGAGCACTTCGTCATAAGAGAAAAATTGCAAGAGATAATAAGGAGCTTTTCTGCGTGTCTATACTCTAAACATCGTGTGCAAAGCTGAACCGCAAACTAATGTTCTAGACAGAAGGAATAAGCACTGACCTTTCTCTTCCATTTCCATGCTTCTGATCTTCCTGCGATTGAGGATCTTGATTGCCACCTTATGGCCAGTCAATATATGTTCCGCGATCTTCACTTTACCGAACGATCCAATTCCCAGGGTTTTGCCAATTCGGTAACCGCTCAAAGGGTTGGCATCTCTTCCAGCTCCCTCCATCGTGTACCTGAATCACAACCAAAGCATATCATACTAGTTTGAGTTTGGGGGCAAAAGAGGGGGAAAAAACGAGAGCTAAAACCATGCGCACTCGTGAGTATGAAGATCTACTATGCACTGATACCATTCGAAGGCTGGACCTAGACGATCGAAACAAGTAATACCGATTCAGGCTAAGCAAAGACACAGCACGCCTCGGGGGGGTTTTCACAACGGCAAAACCCAATTTCATTACTTCAGCAACGATATTACAAGGTTCGACACCAGCAAACTAACACTAAACCCCGCCACCATGTTTCTGATCACAGAGGGTTCGGCCAACATGTGGCCAAAACAGCACGCCTCGATTTACTCCGCGGAGAGGCGGGGGAGGCGAACCAGAATCCCGTTGCCAAATCCTCAAGCTATCTTTCAGAAACTATCCGCACCCAATTGGCCTTGGCCTGTAGAAAACGAAGCTGAAGAGCCCCAACCCCCAAATCCCCAACCCCTGCACAGGCACGCCGCACACCCGAACCGGCCGCTAGCGCGCCATCCCACGACGCGAGGCCCCGGATCTGGCGGAGCTAGCCGGACCACGAAATCCCTCTACGCTAGCAACGGGACACGAGTCATAGAGCCCAGCTTCTTCACGGCTCAAAACACCTAGCCAGACGCGCAGGCTCGGAGGACAAAGAGACAGGCAGAGGCAGGCGCAGAGAGGTGAGGCGATGGGGGCGTGCGTACCAATCTGCCGGGGAGACGCGGGGAGCTGGGTCCCGCCCGCCGGAGCAGGCGGCGGCGGAGGCGGAGGCGGAGGCGCGGCTCGCGGCGGATGCGAGGCCGGGGGAGCTCGGGAGAGAAGCCCAGAGGCGAGGGAGAGAAAGGTGGGGGAGAGAAAAGCGAGGCTCACATGGGACCCACCGCGGTGGCGGGCCTCGAGGGCGTCGTGTGATCGTGTCCGTTCGCGGCGCGCGGACATTCGTGCGTGTGCGGGCTTTGGTGAGGGGCGTGGGGGCCCGGGCGAGCGATCCGACACGTGGACTCCGGGCCCGGACGGACCGGGGCCGTTTGACGGACGGGCGGAGGCCGCGGGAGGGGACGGTTTGGCGTGGATTTCGCGGTGTCCTGGCGTTGTCCTATGGTGGGCGCGTGATGGACCTTCCTTTGATGCAGCGTCCCTCCGACTTCGCATCACAACGACACGGCTAAAGATTTGGCAGGTGGATCTATTCGCGGTGTCCTGTACCCTTCACCCATCGGGTGATACAGTATTGTGTCCCGTTTATGCATGGGTGAAAATGCCAAAACGTGAGCGCGCGCTAGGTTCAGACCGGGCTCACCTTCCTTCACCTGATGCACCAGCGTCACGTTGTCTCCCGCGCGACTTGTCGCATCGTCGAAAAAACGACACGGCGCTTGTCCTCGACTCCGGCTGGTCGCATCGAAGTGGTTGGTCGAGCAAGAACGGTGATTGCCCCTGTAATCCCCTTCATATCATATTCTTTGCACTTGCAAGCGACCATCATGTTTGTTGAATTGTTCTGCAAACAACGGCGGGATGGACCGATGGAGGGATGAGAATGACTTTGTGTGATTGTGTAATGACCGCTTTGGATGATTATTGTAACGGTGTGGCCAGTACACGGACGTTCGGACGGATGTCCGCGCCCGCTGGCCTGCTGGGGCCTGCTCGTCGACCAAATTTTTATGGCGGAGATGGGTGCTGGGTGATACCCGATGGTGATTTAAAAATTGCCATTCTTAGACACTGGCGCTCGACTCCATTGGTTGGTTGGTAAAAATTATGTTTGGATGGACCGAAATTTACATGTTGTGTAGGATGAGCATTGTAACGTTTGGCGATATCTGGACGTTAAGACGGATGTCCGCGCCAATATGTTGCTAATCATCTACCTACTGACTGTTCGGCTCGTTCTGATTGTTGCTTTGGTTCGTAAAGAAGTTCTCGCTGGTCTGGTTTATGTGAGAGAAAAATATTATTCGCTAAAATTTACGATCGTATCGACAAGCATAAAGCGCCGAACATGTTGTAATCCCAACCACCTGCTTGCTCGTGTCGCCCTTTCTCGTCTACTACCGCCTGCCCTTAGCCGTCATTGGGCCGTATGCTTGCCCAACCGCTTGCTCACCCCTTTCTCGCTCGCCTAGCCGATCTGCTTCTAGCCGCCTTGTCGCATCTGCTCGCCCGCTGCCCTGTCTGCTCGCCCGTCTAGAACTGCTAAAACATACGGAACACCAGCTCTACTTTTATAATATCTAGATTAAACACTTTCAACATATGCTAAAACACTTGTAACATACGTTTGAAACACTTAAAAATATCTAAAAACACTTTAAAAGCCATTACAAGCATATGTAACATTTAGATAAAACACTTATAATATATGCGTGAAACATATACAACATCCAAATAAACACAACTGCAACATGCTTCTAAAAAATAAATAAAATATTTGGAACATACCCTTACAACATGCGTGCATAGCCATTACAACATATGCAACATCCGATCTACTTTTGCAACATCGATGTGAAACACTTGCAACGCACTCTGAAACACTTGAAGCATACGCTATCAGCGCAATATCACCTTGCTGCTTGGACGAATGGAGGCTTGTCGTTGCGAAGCTCGACGCCTGCGCGGAGATCGACGGCGCAAGGAGCTCCCCGGTGCCCTAGTGGAGGCACTGCGCTGGGTGAGCACCTACCTTAGGCCGCAAGAGTAACGTTGGGTGAGCACCTACGCGAGGAGCACCTGCGCGAGCACGACGACCTGCTCAGCAAGCACCCCTGGCGAGTGGCCAGTAGCCAGCGAGCACCCCCTGCCTGGCGAGCATGAGGAGGCCAGCAGCCGGCAAGCACGATCACCTAGGTAGAGAGATTTTCTTTAAAGGGCGCGGAGGGGAACGAGCGAATGGCGCGGTTGCAAGTGGGAAGCCACGTCCATCCGGATGTCCTCACGGGTGTATTACCGACATTGTAAAGATCATCTGGTTTAGCGTTAATATAGGCATAGATATCCATGTTTATACATGATTTTAATATGGAATGCTAAATGGATATTATTTGAATCCATTTTTATGATAGTTCGCTATCCGGTTCTAGGTCCGTATTCGAAAAATGTGAAATTTCTGATATTATTTGTATCCACGAAGAACAATGGAGTAGCTACGTGTGTGCATTTATAAAGTTGAGTGTGCGTGTTGTTGTAAGTGTTGCGTGCATAATTCACAAAAAGAAAATATCATCTTAAATTTATACTTATGACTAATTAATGATATAAATAATAATTACTTTAATTTAACTAGTTTAAACTCTTTAAAAGTTATCTCTATGGCTAATATGGCTAATCATAAAGGTTAAGTTTATAATTTTAAACTGCTGGCTTTGCTATTGTGTTTGCCCGATTCTGATGGTTCCCTTTGCCATTATATCTTATCAAATTCAGAGAGGGAACCTCGCATCCCAAGTGCCTGGAGCAGCCGAACAGTGAACACAACACACTTTCTGTTTCGGTCTGGGGCTCCAGCGTGCTCTTGGCCTTTAGGTGAGTCCTTAACCTGCTTCAAGCTAGGACCATTCCATAGATTTCAGCGTGTGTTTGGTCTGGGGACGATATGGAATGACTTGGACCTATCCCATTTTGCTGGATTGGTTGAACCATTTGCTGTTTGGTTAGAGGGAGGGGTTGATTCCAGTTTCACGTTTGGTGTGAGGGATGAAGTAGAATGGGAATGGGATGGATGGAATTTTGCACACCGTTTGCTACCGTTACTCCTAGGACCCGCGCGTCAGTCACACTGCACATCGTCTTCTTCCTCCAGGCGCACTCTCTTCACCATCACCGCGCACCAGCGTGCGCCTGGCCGCCGTGCCCGGCCCGACCGGCCTCCACGCTCCCTGTGCCCGCGCCTCTCGCTGCCCGCGCTGCGCCATGGCCGGGTACGGCACCGGAGCTCGCCCCGTGCTCCCGGTGGCCACCCCTTTCGCTGCCTCGTGCTGCCATGGACAAGTACGGATCTCGTCTCGCACCACCATGGCCGGGGGCCGGCGCGGTCGCTGAGGACGGGGACGGGGCCGCCGCGATCACTGAGGGTAGGGGCGGGGCCGCCACGGTCGCCGTGAGCGCGGGCGGGGCGAGGCCGGCGAGGTCGACACGGCGGGCGCTGGGTGCAGGGGCTGGGCCGAGGCCGGCGCGGGCGTTGAGGATGGGGGCGAGGCGAGCGCTAAGGGAGATGCAGAGACGAGACGGACACCGACGGCGTTGAAGTGGGTTCGCTTGGTCCCCTCGTTTTGGTGGAATGAGCTGAACCCGGATCTGAGGGTATATTCCCTCGTGGGTTGGACCCAAACCCGCATGATTCGTCAGCTAAGTTAAAGTTTGGTTTGTTTGGCTTGTTTTTCAGCAGGAATAGTATTTTTTTTCACAATAATTCAACCAAAATAGTGTTTTTCAGTCAGTTTCAGTCAAAGTTCAGACCAGTGAACGGGACCTAAACAGCAGATCACGTGGGACGGATCTGGGATATGACATCTGAACCCGCAAACCAAACACACGGGACGGGATGGCCTAGCCCTAGCTTAAGCCATTCAACACCAGCTACACGGCATGGTACACAGCTTAATAAGTCAGGACGCATTGTGTTACGAAAACCATGCTTCACATAACCAAATACCAGAATAATCATTTTTCAAGTAGAACCCTCTTTACTCGAAAATTGCCAGTTGGAGTATTTATTTATATATATGTGCAGAACATACTGCAACTAGGTCCTGTTTCCTGGGAGACAACCCACAACACTTACTGCTTCTACTTCTAATATTCCATCAGCCAACATACTTAAAAAAACAACATTTGGCATGCCTTGTACCGGTAGTCAAAGTTGCCCACTCGCACTCACGTACAGTAACCCCAAAAAAAAGTACAACTCGAAGCTTCTAACTTGGGCCGCGTTTAGTTGCTGGCCGAAGTTACGCAGCCGGAAAGAGATGTCATTGTAGCGCATACTGTAGCGTTTTGTTTTTATTTGATAATAATTGTCCAATCGTTGATTAATTAGGCTCAAAACGTTCGTCTCGCAAAGTACAACCAAACTGTGTAATTAGTTTTTGATTTCGTCAATATTTAGTACTCCATGCATGTACCGTAAATTTGATATGATGGGGAATCTTTTTTTTACATAGTGTCAAAGTTGAAATTTGGCGGAACGAAACATGGCCTTGGAACGAAACATGGCCTTGGGAACTTGACGTCTATAAATCTGCAAAGAAATCCGATGCCGGCCTACTTGAACTCTGTCCTTTACCCGCCTTTTTACTCCTTGACCCTGAACACCCCCAGTGAGAAGATAAGAAACAGCTTTGAGAGAAGAAATGTGAACCCAAAAGGCAGGATTATCATGCTAATGGCACACAGCATAGTTCAATAAAATCTCACCTCTAGAAGAGGTTGCGGCCATGTCCACATCCATCACATCATCATCGCTATAGTCATCACTATCACTGCTACCAGCTTCGGCAGGTTCGTCACCATTGACTACCTGTGGACCATTCAAGAGTTCTTCCAAGTCCCAGAGCTGCATATACAACAAACAAGATGTCAAGTCAGACTAACGTATGGGCACACCAACAATGAGAATGAGAAAGGATTGTCACCTTCAGCATTTTATCATGTGAGATGCTGCCGAGATATTTCTTATCGTTTGAGAAAGCTGCATAGCATAAATAAGTCATAAGAACATGCTGTTTTTTTCCACCAAATCTCACAATCAAATGGACGCACATACCAAGGGCCTCAATGGGATATTCTGAATGTTCAGCAAGTGGCTGTATTATCCTATTCGGTAAGATGCCCACTAATCTACACAAAGAACAAGGATTTCATGTTAGAACAGCAATCCATCAGACTAACAGGCAATTGCCTGAGAAGTGAGATGTTAACATAAAGCAACAGCTGTGAATTCCAAACCTGATCACACCATCTGACGAACCAGAAACCAAAGTTTCTTCATCCAGCTAGAACACGAAGCATACCCGTAATAAGAATGAATACACAAATAGGGCAAAAATGACAGTTATCATAATAAGGTTTGGGTCCCACGAACCTTCAGCATTGTATCCACAGACTGTGTGTGTCCGAGAAAGCGGTCACTAACCACAAAAAGACATGCCAGTGAACAATTTTAGATCACATCACTTGCAGAATTAATTGGGTCTAAACCACACAAAGTGAAGGAAGCAGACTGGCAACATCTCATAGTGGTATTTTTAGGAAGCTATGAATATTAGATGTCAAGATCCTTCTAAGGAGCTACTGATCACAAGATCTTTGAAAATTGGAATAATCGAAGAAAGTGAATTACACTTGGTACAATAAAGTTACTTATCAAATTACCCATAAGAACAAAATTGTTCCCACCTATGATAATTACAATGATGAAAGGGGGGGGCAGACCCAGTGCCGGAGGCTCCCACATGAGTGGGGTCTGGGGAAGGGAAAAACTGAGGCAAGCCTTCCCCCGCAAAATCTGCGGAGAGGCTGCTTCGAACCCACGACCTGGTGACTCAGTGAGACAGCTCTCACCACTGCACCAGGCCTGCCCTTCGATAATTACAATGATGATTAGAGAAAATATTGGTAGGAACTAGGAAACATACAAGCAATATTTAAGCATCAAAATATCAGGGAACGCTGCATCCAGAGAACTACGTTGATGTAATGATGGGGGTCCCTCCGTTCCAATTATAGTTCACTTTGGTTTTGTCCTAAGTTAAACTTCTTTAACTTTAACCAAGTTTATAGAAAAAACCACCAACATCTACAACATTAAATTAGTTTCATTAACTTCTTCATAAAATAAGTTTTGATAATGCATTTGTATTGTAGATGTCACTATTTTTCCTAAAAACTTGGTCAAAGCTGAAGAAGTTTGACTTAGGACAAAGGCAAAGTGAACTGTAATTTAGACTGGAGGGAGTACTATACAAATAGTATTAGACAAAAATAGTTTCGTTAGTGAAGTTTTATCTTTGTGCTATTTTATTTCAGCAGTTAATGTTGTGTGATGAAAACATGGTTACCTGCAATCCTTAAAGTATCCCCATGAATATAATAAGAGTGCTCCACTTGGAGTTCCACAAACAACCTTTTTACCATTCTAAGAGTCACAAAGAATAAGATAAAATTCAATTATCATGACAACAGGACAGAAATGTTGCTAGCAAAAACTGTTTGCCAAAAATAGGTACCTTCATTACCACCAAGGATAGCAACTCATCTTCTGAAAATTCAGATCGTGACCTTACCTGGTATTAAATTAGAAACAGTTAAAAGATTGCAAGTTAACTTACAATAATTCATCGGTAAATGATAACCGTAGATAAGAAGTCCTAAAACACGAATTGAACACACTAGAAGCAAGACTCGATGTACTCCAAAGGCAACTCACTTTATTCCTCCGCAGGCTGTTCACAGACAGAGTTCCATCCCCACTACAAGGAAAACAAAGATTGTTTAACCCTTGGTTACCATATTGTATCATGCACAGAATAGATGACGATAAATTTGACATGCAAACATTTTGTAAATAAAAACATCTTTAGTGTGTCATAGAATGTCTTTTGTTAATTGGTATAACAAAATCACACCATCAAATTACTTAATAACTACTCCACATGAAGTAGCAGAGCAGTTAAGTGCAGAACTAAAAACAGGAGTATTTCTGCCTGCTTCATGACCAAAAAAATGGGAAATAAAATAAGAGGATTGGTGATCATCTTTAGTTGTTTGCCATACAGACAAAGTTTCAACTGTGTTTGATACATATCAACTGCAGGGAATCTAGTTAAACCTTGTAGCCAGTATCTGATTTGAGTCAGCCACATAGGTCATATCAGAAATGTAATCATCATGGACATCAAAACTGTTGCAGCAAGCTCGTTCCCGGGTATCCCATACCTAAAATTAAAAGAATGAGGATAGCTAAGTCAAAAACTACATTATACATCTAATCTAATAGAAGATAATTGCATATAAAACAAATTTTGTCTGCAAAAGGAGCCATCTCATAAACGTCACTTGAGTCCAAAAACAGACATAAGTGAACATTTTTGTAACACGGATTTTAGTATGCTTGGTACAAGCATTGTTATATAAATAAGCTTGTTAATGCTTATTTTCGTATGACCCAAAATGTCAGAGTACTGGAAACAAAATGATAAAACTGAAGTACTGAACTGTATTTTAGCACCCATACATCTTAGGCCAGCAGACTTACTGGTTACAGCTTCATACCTTAATGCAGCCATCATCATCACCTGTGGCAATTGTAGACTCCGTAAGACAGACAAGGCGGTTTATGGCATTCCTAAAATCAAGTTACAAATGGTCCAATGTTTAGTTCCGCAAACAAAATAAATACTAGCACTGAAAACCAACAAAACTCACTCATGTGCATCCTGCAAGCGGGCAATGGCCTTGCCTTGATTCTACATCTGAGGCAAGGACTGAGCAATCAGCTGACCCCGACAAAATCACTGAACCAAACCACAACAGCAAGAAAACCGTCAGGAAAATGGTTAGAGGACGTAAGGTATGCAACAGGATGCATCAAGGTGTGCTCCCCTCCCAATTAGTTCCAGTTTGTCATTGCCAACTTAAAGCTGCTAATTTTGCAGCAGCATTTTTTAAGCATAGCAGAGTTAGAAACAAAGGTCGGAATATAATCCATAAAACATTGTGCAAGTGGGTGCACAGGTTGGCAGGTATATAAGAGCACTCGATAACAAAAGGCAACAAGGCATTACCTTTTCCTGAGTCCACAAAACGAACAGCTCTGCATGACTCCTTGTGAGCTTTTACCGACACTAACCTTAGTATCAAACAAAAACAAAGTGATATCAATCTCTAAGATATGGAATCAACCTTCGAATTGCCAAAGCATGAGTGCATAACCTCAATGACAGAATGCACTAACCACATGATATTTCTACCGTTGCAATTCAATTCAAGTCGACTACACAGTTACATAACTGTGGACACACCTAAGGCCTTGTTTGGATGCACATGTATTCATCTTAATCCACATGTGTTGAAGTGGATTGCAGTGGAATTAAACTAAGTTCCATTCCAATCCACTCCAACACATGTGGATTGAAGTGGATACACATGCATCCAAACAAGGCCTAAGCAAAAACCAAGGAACACTAATCTGATGCTATGAGCACAGCAACACGGTGCCGAGCAGCAGGCGGAATTCCAAGTGTGAAACTAACAGAGCAGAAGCAGCAAGAGAGCTTCCGAGAGTACCTCTCAGGCTGCGACTCCGGGCCGTAGCGGAACCTGTGAAACCAACCAAGATTGGAAGCGGTTACTCTGTGGCGGTAAGAACAAACAAACAGGAACGGGAAACATGGAAAGGCATTCAGTGTGTGCGGCTCGGAGGGCGTACATGCAGAGCTCGCCGGTGATGAGGGAGGTGACGACGAGCGGCGAGGACGGGTGGAAGTCGAGGTCGAAGGGCAGCTCCTCGTGGAGCGCCTCCATCGCGGCGGCTGGCAGAGACGGAGGCGGGCGGGCGGCGGCGCGGCTGGCAGAGATGGAAAAACAGCCGAGGGAGGGCGTCTCGGGCGGGCTGGGCTATAAGGCCTGAGACAATACAACGCGCGTACGCAGTTTTCAGATAGCTGGGCTGGACATGTGTAAACGGGCTTTTGCGAAATTTGATCGCATCTTCTTTATGGTTTTTTCATCATAAAAAAAAACTCGTTGAACTGTTGTATTTTGCTGTGTGGTCAGTGGTACTGTGGTACTGTTCTCTGATAAGAACACGAGTTTTCATTGCTGACTGGCTGTTCACTGTTGCCACCGCACAATGACACTGGCAGACTGACCCATAAAAAACCATTAGCGGTCCTGTAGAATATTATTGTACTGTAGGTCTGAGTATTCGTCCCCTAGTCAATGACCGGAAACGAAGCGCACTGCTGTTGTTTGGCTGATCAGGAGGTACGGCCGTACCCAGTACAAACAGTGGTAGCGACCAGGCAAGTGCCGTCAATCTCCCTGCAAGAGCCGGTGAGGGCTGATGCTCAGAGGCGGGGCAGCGCTTGAGACTGCTGGGCAATGACACACGCCCACACGATCCACCAACACCAATCCACACCTGCTATTATGCTAATCCAGCAGCGTCCACGTCCACGCCCACGTGAGCACAGGCCTGAAGAAGGGTGAAGGCCTAGCCAGTAGTACTCCCTCGGTCAAAAAAAAAAAAAGGACCATTGTTTAAATATGAATATGAACATATAAGTCACGAAACCAAACATACTTTTGTAATATATAGTACATTTGACGTATGATCATCAATATTTTTATCTATATATTTAATCAAAATTTAGATATTATAATCGAGAATGTATCTGGACTTGCATTCTTTTCCGAACGGAACTAGCGGGGTAGGCTAATACACTTTAGCTCAATCGCATCGGATATTTGTATCAATTAGGATAATTAAACAAGGCTAATTACAAAACTAATTGTGCAGATAGAGGTTAATTTGCAAGATGAATCTATTAAGCTCAATTAGTTCCATGATTTGACAATATGGTGTACAGTAAACATTCGTTAATGATGAATTAATTAGGCTTATGCGAATTGGCCCTGGCTGCAATTAGTTTTATAATTAGTTCATCTTTAGTCCTTCTAATTAGTCTCCTAACATTTGATGTGACAATGGCTAAACTTTAGCATACGGATCCAAACACTGCCATTATCTATTCAGGGGGCGTTTAGTTTCCACCAAAATCAAAACTTTGTCACTATGCAAAAAGAAGATTCTCCGTCACATCAAACTTGCGGTACATGCATGGAGTACTAAATGTTGACGAAATAAAAAACTAATTGCACAGTTTGGTCGTACTTTGCGAGACGAACGTTTTGAGCCTAATTAGTCAACGATTGGACAATAATTCACAAATACAAACAAAACGCTATAATGTGCTACAGTGCTGGCACAGTGATTTTAGTTGTCCAAAATCGGGCAACTAAACAAAGGCTCAGTTATCCTATCATTTCACCCATCAATAGTTCAGTTTGAGTGAGTCCATATGAACCGGGACATCATGATTGTAAATTGTAACGTAGTTTTTTTAAACGAAAGAATAATTATATTGAATTATAGCTAAATACATCATAATGATACAAGCACCCTAGAATACAATACGTATACCTAGGAATTGTCCTTCATCTGTATTGTACACATGGTTCGTATAACTCCAAATCTCAATCACAAACATGTATGGCAGTTCATATATAGATGATCGCACATGCAAACACTTAGCAAAAAGGCTACGAACATGTGCCCAACAAACGGTAGCCAAACATTTCTATAGGTGGAGTTGAGCATAAACTTATTTCTTGTGTCTTCCTTCATTTTCCTTCTGCCACCGAAGAATAACGAAAATCGATCTAAATCTTTCAAACTCAGTTGGTTAGGTTCCTTGTAGAGGAATCTGCCCACCCCGATTTGAGCCCTCGACTTAGCACGGGTGCTCGCATTTTCCTGAATTTATTCTATGATTTAATGGCGTTGTGCTTTCAGTTATAGTCGACATTCCCGTCTACAGCGAGGCACCTGCGGTGACTTTGTCAATCTCGAGATGTGCCGGCACAGTTTTTCGGAGGTGCTCATATGTGCGTGTGTTCATAGGGGTGAGTATGCGTGCGTGTTGTGAGCGTCTGCGTCTGTACTCGTGTAATTCACAAAAAGAAAGTAATTGGCTTGAAGGGCAGATGTATTTTCACTGGTCCTTCATCGTGGTCAGATCTAACCACAACAAAACGGAAAAAAGACCGAGGAAAATTATTCCACGGCAGCAACATCATCTCCGTCTTGATGTCACTTTCCAGAAACCTAATTCTCTATGTCATCATGCCTAGAAAGTTGTTGGTGCTGTAGTTGTCAGCCCTCGTGCTCATCAAAGTGGCCATGGAGAAACCAAATCTACTTTACCTTTTCCGTCGTCGCCGAAAAGGAGGGAGCAAATCACCAATACCAAAAAAAACTTTGCATTGAGAGACCTAACCTAACAAAACCCGATCTACTGTAAACCTGTTAGAAAGATGAATCTCCACTCTCTTCGGCCTCCGACGAGTTCGCGGAAGGCGAAAGAGAGAGGGACGAGAGAAAAAATCAAAATATCTTATAATTATGAATCGAGGAAGCAGAGGATAATGAAAGACGATGTTAATAATGAAAGATGGAGAATGAAAAGTTTTAACAGCTCACGACGTGTGTTTTATCTTTTATGACAATTCAAACCGCAGACAGCGTGTTTGATGAGTGACGACAAAGTTACCAATTAGCACTTTGGTCCTATTCGTTTCGCTAAAATTTGGTTTATGCTGATGCTTACTCCCTTCATCCCAAAATATCTCTCGTTTTCGCTTTTAGAGAAACAACTTTGACAAAATATATATTAAAAATAGTTATATTTATGGTACATAATTGGTATCATTGGAAAGATCTTTAAATCTAGTTTTATAATATATTTATTTGAAGATATAAATGTTGCATGTATTTTTTACAAATCGAGTCAAACTTGCGGTACGAAAACAAAAACGACAAATAGTTTAGGATGTAGGGAGTATGCTAATTTATTGTGAGAGAAAAATATTATTTATTCGTTGAAAAGTACGGATTGACAGACGGAAATGAGAGAGATTTTTTTTAATGGCAAATGAGAGATATTATTGTTAGAAGTCACGCGCTCGGTGCTTCCGTTGACTGCTGGGGCCCATGACCATCTATCTGCACAAAGTGAATGAAGTGAAGTGAAGTGATCCGACAAACCCCACGTGTGTGCCAATCACGCACGCACAAACAACGTCATCCTAAAGGTGTGTTTGATCCAGCTTAGTAGATGTTACGTTGGGTACTAATTACAAAGACTAAATATAAGTTTAATTAGATTTTTTATAAATTAGTCTTAATCTATATAATTAGTTTTATAATTAGCCTATTTTTAATACTCTATATATATGTTAAATATTTAATGTGATAGGATCTAAATTTTAGTAGGCGGAACCATTCATTCGAAGGACTTCCTGTCACGAGGCGCATCTACACTCCTCACACAATCAACATCGCAAGTTACAGCAACACAACTACGTACAGAGAATCAGAGATCAACCGGTGCAAACAATGCAAGTTGATGCCAAAGAATTGCATGCAATGCACCCACGCCACGCTGGATGATCAGAGCTCAGAGCAAAAGGCAGCTGCACAGAGCTACCGCGGCGGGCCTGAGCAGCCCGGCCGGCCAGCGACCCCTCGTCACCTCTCCCCTAACCACTCTCGCGACGACCGAGCTCTCCGCGGCGGCGGACGTTTCGCAGGCGACGTCGTCGCGAAAGACTCCGACGCCCATTTCCGGCACGACGGCCCGGTCGGCGACGCACAGCCCCGGGTTGCCGCTCAGGTCCAGGTTCCGGCCGAGCTGCCTCAGGAACGCGCCGTCGAACGGGACGACGCCGTCCAGCCCGTTCTTGCTGGGGTTGAGGTGGTACATGCGCTTCAGCCGGCTGAGCCCCGCCGGGATCCGCCCGGTGAGGTTGTTGTTCTCCAGCGACAGCGTGGTGAGGCTGGACAGGAGGCCGAACGTGTCCGGTATGGAGCCCGAGTAGCCGGAGTTGGCGAGCCGGAGCTCCTGGAGCCGCGTGATGTTGCCCAGCTCGGGTGGCAGCGGGACGCCCATCAGGTTGTTCTCCATGATCAGGTACTGGCTACTGCAGGTCGCGGAGACCGGAGAGGCCGGCGGGGAGGCGGCCGCGCAGCCCGTTGTTGCTGAGCGCGAGGAACGTGAACGCCTTGAGGCGGGTGAGGGCGGCCGGGACGCCGCCGGTGAGGTTGTTGGAGCTGAGGTCCAGCTTCTGCAGCTGCGCGAGGTCGCCGAGGCGGCTCGGGATGGTGCCAGAGAAGGAGTTGTAGCTGAGGTCGAGGCCGACGAGGTCGCGCAGGTCGCCGAGCGCGCTCGGGATCGGTCCCGTCAGGGAGTTGTAGCTGAGGTCGAGGCCGACGAGGCCGCGCAGGTCGCCGAGCGCGCTCGGGATCGGTCCCGTCAGGGAGTTGTAGCTGAGGTCGAGGCCGATGAGGCCGCGCAGGTCGCCGAGCGCGCTCGGGATCGGTCCCGTCAGGGAGTTGTAGCTGAGGTCGAGGTGCACGAGGTCCTCGAGCTCGCCGATGCCCCGCGGGACGGCGCCCCGGACCAGCGCGTTCTGGGACACGGTGAGCACCTGCAGTGACCGGAGGCTGGCCAGCTGTGGCGGCAGCGTGCCGGACAGCGACGGGTTGGCGCGGACGCTGAGCTGCTGCAGGCGCGAGGAGGAGAGGTTGGACGCCGGCGGCAGGGAGAAGGCGGCCACGGCGTCGGGGTTCTTGAAGCACCCGACGAGGAACAGCGCCCGGACCTCCGGCAGCGCGAACGCGGCCACCGGGAACGTTGCCGTGTCCTTGCACGTCGGGTTCGGCGGCACCCCGAAGTCGAGGC